CTGCCTGTTTTAGCTGCCAGAGGTATTGTGGACTGGTCCCTTGATATTTCCAGGCCGCCCCCGCAGGCTAGATTTAAGTATCCTGCAGGCCTTGAGTTTGACACCCCTGGTATAGATGATAGATCAGATCAGATGGAAACTCATCAACAGCATTTTCCTCTTGTGATACGCACATTTGTCCTATTCCAGCCATCTGTTAGAGTAAAATCAGATAGATATCAGGGACATGCATCAAGATTCTGTACCCTAAATTTCTGTATGATCTCGTCTAGCAGTCTTTTATGTAAATCAGGGAGAGGAAATCTGAAAGACATCAGTTCTTTCTCACTATTATAAATGGACAAACAATGGAAAAATATTTATATATTGTACAGTGGATGTAAAGCATTGTAGATAAGACATATTTGCAACAATTCCACCCAAAGCACCTTAATATAGAAGGCAAGTCTGTTTAAACCAGATTTTAGAATCTAATTCTGAGAAGAATTGGAATTCTGCAGTACAGTGCATCTCAATATTACCCAGGCAAAGACAAAACTGGCATTATGTAAATAATAAAAGTAGTAGTATTACAGGATAGCCTATAGAAATCTTACTATGCCCTTACATGTTCTCTTAATACCATTAGATACCAGAAATATTAAAGCTTGCTGGAAAAAGAATACAGTTAGTTTTATCTGAAAACTCATGAGATCTATTTCAGTTATTCCAAGAATGATAGACTTGGTTCAATTCAAAATGATTAAAACTGAGCATTATTTAGAATCGTGCAACCACTTACACTTCCAAAAACTAAACCATTATATCCATCACAACTACAAACTACATTTTACCTTATATGGTATACTTCACGTGCAGGAGACTCTTATATGTAGTGATGGACTGCCTTCTCCATGCTAAGTTTGGTATAGGGAACAAACAGCTTTGTTCTCCTAATGCTTTGGTGCCATCCCTTACACTGTAATATCTTTCTCTTGAGGAAGTGCTAATGATTGACTGGTATGTAGCATTGTATTTATTGCTGTTAGGGTTTTTGCCTAATGACTAGAAAGCTAGTCATACAGAACCAAATTAGTTATTAATGGGCCAAAGAGAAAGTCTATATGATTTCAGTTGAGATTGAGTTATAAAGTGGTGAGATATTACACTGCCAGATATCCTAGGAAGTACATGTGCCATGAAATGAAAACCAACCCAAAACCTTTCCTGTTCTTGTTGTAGATGAGGGATAGGAATTTCTTTTTTTAAAAAACTCCAGAAGTATTAGGGCATTATGGATCTACAGAAGTTCAGATGTACTCTGGACAGATGCTAGAATGTTAGATGTTGAAGTGTTGTCCATGCTAAAAAAGCAACACAGGAAAATTCAAGTTCAAAATAGAGGCAATTCCTATATACCAGTAATAGCTACATATATAACTTTAGAATTGGCAATCAGTCTTGAAATTGAGGTTTCAGAAATGGGGAAGAAAAAGAAAAAAATAAAAGAAATGCACCCAATGCACATTAATATGGTTTATCAGCCATCATGTTTTGAATATAAATACTGTATTACAACATAGTCTGCTGAAACTCTCCCAAATGTACTGAAATGCATGGATATTTTTATTATGGTATATTTTACTTATTTGTTTTAGGAATTGATATTTCTACCTGTATAGTCTATTTATTTCTTTTTGGTTTACTGCGAGAAGATCTGTAGGTAGCATTCCAGAGCCTTCACAGCTCTGCTTCCTGAGAAGCAGCTGCAGAAAAATAGGCAGGGAGTCATTTATCTAAATGCAATTTCTGTGATACAAAGAAATACTGGTCTCTGCCTTAAATACTGGTCTCTGTTAATATGATTGACGTCTTACATGAAGAAACTTTTGATAATCAGTGCACTACATATACATACTTTGTTCTTCCTTCTTCCATCCTTTATCCTGTTTGTTTTCCTGTTGAGTAACACATGCAAGGTGCAGAATGCAGATGGTGATGATGCTTCAGTTCGGGTGGGCCAATCAACTTGTTCCAATATGCCAGATAGTCTCAGTCTGCCAGGAAACATAAGCCCCTTAACATCCTGTTTTTTTATGACTCCTTTTAATGTTGGTTTAGTAAACTGTTACTGAGTGAGAATTTACAATGGAGGTGAGTTTAAATCTATTTTCCCCTTGCTTTTTTAGAAAAAATTTCTTGCTTTTAAATAGTTTGTTATTTAAATTTTTCATTTTAAATGTCTTTCAGGATTTAGGACACCACTTTTTTTGCCTTTATCTTGCATCATGTTTAAGTGTTTCTGAAACATAGAAACTAGATTTTTAAAAAAATCTTTAAAAATCAGTGGAAGTTTTCTTTTCTTAATAGACTTTAGGAAGAAATTTGCAGAATATTTTTTGTTTTACTTAATAGAATCAAAACTTGTCACACTCAAGCCACTGTTCTGTGTCTCTGATGTTAAATTTGTTATTTTTGACTTTTGTTTTTGATGTTATACCTCTTATTAGAGGTAAAGCAAAATTGGAGTATGCTTACAAGATGTGGAAGAGGTGCAGGATGTAAATTACATTTTATATACTTTGCTTTACAACAAAGTATACATAAAAAGGTGTAATGAAGTAATACTAATGTCAATACTGTATGCCCTTTATATAAAAAGTTTACAACTTTTACAAAATATTTTGCTGTGAAATGCTCTGAAAAGCTAGCAGCATTTAAATTATGAAATAGAAAAGGCTATGCATGTAGAAATGAATGAATTTGGTAACTCACATGGATAGCTACACACCCATAGAAAGATAGATTTTATAACAACTATTATTTTCTGCATATTGGTACATTATAATAAGCTTTCTATTTTAACTATTTTTTAATTTAGTGGATTTAGGTTACATAAAACTAAGAGTTTTTGTATATGTGTTTAATAGTTAATAGGAATAAAAAAAATAGAAGTTTTCATTTTTCTGTATTTATAGTACATGTGGAATGTATTTTCAAAAACCAAAAAAGCTGACTATTGGTAATATTTCCTAATAATGTTTTTTATTAATTTTGCTTTCTAAAACACTGAAGTAAATACTATTAAATGCCATTTAAATTATTTCCTTCATCATCATCATCATCATCATTATTATTATTATTATTATTATTAATTGAATTTATATTACTGCCTATTTGCCTATGGCGACTCGAGGTGGCTTACAGAATGTAAAACTATATTTAAAACAAAAAACAACAATAAAAGCTAACAAAATGAATCAAATAAATTCATAAAGAACGATAGAACAAAATGGGAAAATAAAAAAATAAAAAATCACCCCCCAACTCTCAACCCCCCGCCACGACAACAGCAGATCATATGAACCATTTGATGGGCTCCATCCTGCTATGGGTTCCTCAGGTCCCAGGCCCTATCCCACTCTGGGTTCCAGAGAAAATTTTCATATGTTCTAAAAAAAAATAGGACTGTGAGTTCAAAAGAATGTTTTCTGGCTTCTACATAATCAGTGAACATTCAAGTTATAAAACTAATTTTACATGATTTTTATAATAGTTTGTGCATTCTTGTGAGGTGATTACCTTTCAGTTTTTCTTGTGTGAAAAAGTGGAATTACTCTTTATTTAACTCTCTATGTATTTTAATTTTATCGATAGAAATAGAATATGTAACCCATTTAGAATTGCCAAATATTGGTGAAATATATAAGCTTCATGATATATAAATGTCTTTTTAAAAAAGTGGCAACAAACCCTTGTTTTCCTTCACAGATGCATATGTAATGTATGCTAACTCATACATGTAAGATAAATATAAACGTGTTCTTTGCTATGTGCTTGTTGTATTGCTGTACTGTTATGCTTGAAAGTTTAAATCACTTCATGCTTCATATGATTACTTTTTAAAACCTGAGATAAAATGCAAAGGGAAAATAACATGGATTGAACATACAGTTTTTGCAGGTCCACCCTATACTTAACTGTAAGCTGGCAACACTTAGTGTTCAGTCCAAACATCAAGTTCTGCTCATTACATGCAATCCTGTTTGTAGTCTTGCATGTGAAATGATATCTTATCCTTTCTTCAAGGATTTAGATGGGATGTACTATCCTTTGGACAAGCTTCCAAGGTGTATATGAATGATAGATCACTGGATTCAGATGGTTTAAGTACCATCTTTTGAATAAGACACAGTTGGCTCTATTCACACATGACATCGTTATACAGATGATAATTGCCAATGTGGTGGAATTTAATACTTTTGTACTAATGGACCTTTGTAAATATTGGACATCCCTTCCCCATAATGTCTGTTAAAATGATATTTTACTGTACTGTGGCTTACAAACTACAAAGGATGGATTATATAACAGATGAAATGAAACTTGAGCAAGCCACATTACTTATGGGTTTAAGTAGTGATAACCTGTGATTTAGGCTACCAGTAAGTTCTTTGAGCTCTTGAAAATTGCTGGCATATTTCTAGACATCTGATGGGGGGGAAAAGTGGTACAAGTCTAAATAACAAGAAAGAAAAACTTCAAATATTGGGGAAAGTCAAGCATTTCATATATGAAGTATGCGATTGGGATGTATCTTCATCTGCTTTTGCAGTATTTTAATGCAGCCCTTCAGCCGGAAAAAGTTAACATTCTTGATTTAAGATGAGCTGAATCACTCAATTGTCTGTTCTGGGTTTAGAGCCCAGATCTGTCCAGTATAAGTTTAATATTCTTGATATCTACAGCTCTGCAAAGTCTCACATAATTCATTGCTGCTTTACACATCATAAATATGGAGTGTTGAACTGGGATTGACACTGTCTTGCTATATTATAAATCATTTTATCACTTTTGAGTCTCAATCAGGCCTGTGTAGCTCCAAATTTAATTAAACAAGTAATGTATTTTTATATAGAAATAAACTCAAAATATTGAGTGTTGCTACTTTATATTAACAGACTTTTCAAAAAAGTGTTGATTTTCTTTCTAGATTCTAATAAGACCATGTTTTTTTTTAGACATTTGATGCAAATGATCTCTACCAAGGACAGAACTTCAGTAAAGTGCTTAGTTCCTTGGTGGCACTAAATAAAGTAACAGCAGGTAAATATAAATCCATTTAATAGTTATATTTTTATAGTTTTCTAGAAGTTGATTATTTTCTATTACTTAACATTAATGTAATCACCTTCCTTCCTCTGTTAACTTGTATGGTTCAAATTTGAATGATTTCAGCTACATATCTCAGAACTTTACTCCATATCATTTGCATTTCTATTTTTGGGATTACTTTCCTCCCACTTCCCATCTGACTGTGAGCTACAAAATGTAAAGTTAGTTTTCTTTTGAGGCCAAGGCAACTCCTGTGATTTCATGGACACTTCTATATAATTTTGCTGGCAAGAATGCAAAAGTGATTTCTTTGATTCCTCGTCAAAATTGTAGTCTGGAACTTCCATTTAAAACACTAATCCAGTTTTATAACAGTTTTTGAAATCAGCCAAAGTTATTTAGATGCTGCTGCATGTGCAGAATATCATTTTTAAAAAAATAAAACAAATGTACTGTTCAGTTGATTAATGGTAGCAACAAAGTTAATAGCTATATAGCACTTCAAATTCAAAGGTACACCAGTGCTTCAAAGTACATGGCAGCATGAACATAGCATCTGTCTTCAACTCTTTAAAGTAGCCATGCCTTTTCTTGGAATCACTTAGCTCTTCAGCTACCATGCAATCTGGGGAAGGACACCCTTGATTTCAGGGGCTGCAGAGAAGTGCTTCATTTGTGAGTTCTCTGTTTTGAAGCCCCCATTTGCTTTCAGAAAAGTGCTGCTCAGCCCTAGCTGAAAGTAACTTCAACATTGAGCTTCTACTGCCTTCTCCTAGTTCCCATATACCAGAGCTGTAGATAACTTTCTAAACTTTGATCTCCAAAGGGAAGGCAGAGTAAGTTGGCAAATGGATTCAGAGTCTATATCAGTGGTTCCCAAACTTTTTCAGTCCACCGCCCCCTTGGTGCTACAAATTCATCCTCGGTGCCCCCCACCCAGGGGTGGGATTCAAATTTCTGTGGGCGTGGTCTAATTTGAGGGTGTGGCTTGCTGATCATGTGACTGGGTGGGCGTGGCTTGCTGGTCACTTGACTGGCTGGCATGGCTTGCTGGCTGGGCATGGCTTGCTGGTCACATGACGGGTAGGTGTGATTTGGTGGTCATGTGACTGGGTGGGCATGGCCAGGTGACTGGCAAACCAAATACAAGTGGTCCTCACTTAATGGCCGGTTGTTTAGCAAGTGTTCTAATTTATGACTGGCTTCCCCAGAGATACTTGACCCATTTTTGGAGTTTTGACAGCCATGCACACATATACATACACACTCCCTTCTAACTCTGCTGGAGCAGGTCATTGCACTAGAATCGGCAAAGCATCTCTGATTAGATTCTAACAGTGAATAAAATCTAATCAGAGATGCTTTGCTGATTTTTGTTGATTTGTTTTATTTGTATCTCATTATTTTATGTTGCTGAATTGCACTGGCATGTGTGTCCCTTCTTGTGCACAACCCAGAAGCTTTTGTGATTCTTTGCAGCAAAAATTACCGACCTCTGGCTTTGCTCTACTTTTCAAACATGCTGCCACTGCTGGCCCCGCAGGTCCACCCCTTTGAGCCCACTGCATTGGAGGGACCTGCCCAAGCAAGTCAAGTCAATGGGGTGAGCCTGAGAGAGGGAAAGAGAGAGAAAGAAAAGAGAGAGGGAGAGAGAAAGAGAGAAGGAAGAAAAGAAAGAGAAAAGGGGAAGAAAGAAAAAAGGGACAAAGAAAGAGGGGGGGGGATGGAAGGAAGGGACAGAAAGAAAAAGAAATAAGGAGGGAGGGAGGAGAAAGATAATGAGATATCTATTCTCGTCCAATCACCTGCTCCAGCAGGGTTAGAAGGGTGTGTGTGTTTGTGTGTGTTCTTGTAATTTACCAGTACATTTTGGTTTTGTCTTCTTCAGAATTGGCACTGTAATACATTGGGGAAAAGTAATTTTTAGGGTGGAGATCTGGTCCAATGGATCCTGTTTAAAGCCTCAACAAAATGTGAGAGCTTCCTGATAGTCTTGACCATGTTTTGTCCATAAAACCTTTAATAGAAGCCAAAGATGTTTCAATGTGCTGGCAAAAATGTTTCAATATGGAAAAGGGCCTCAGTCTAAACTAGGCCTCATTTCAATCAGATGCATCATCTCTCTCTCTCTCTCTCTCTCTCTCTCTCTCTCTTCCCCTCCCTCCCTCCCTCCCTCCCTCCCTCCTCCCTCCCCCTCCCTCCTTGCTCTACTTTCACAATGTGCCTGCGGCGCTGGCGCTTCAAACATGGATGGATGGATAGAGAGAGAGAGACACAGACAGGCAGAGAGACAGATAGGTAGGTAGGTAGATAGATTGGTAGGTAGATAGGCAGGCAGGCAGGCAGACCTTTTGGAGGAATGTATGGATAGGTAGGTAGGTAGGTAAGTAGATTGGTAGATAGGTAGGTAGGTAGGTAGATCTATATTGGTAGATAGGTAGGTAGGTAGAAAGACAGGTAGGCAGGCAGGTAGGTAGGCAGGAAGGCAGGAAGGCAGACATTTTGGATGGATGGATGGATGGATGGATAGATAGATAGATACATACATACATACATACATACATACATCATACATACATACATCTATATTGGTAGATAGGTAGGTAGGTAGACAGAAAGGCAAGCAGACAGAGACAGGCAGACCTTTTGGATGTATGGATGGACGGACAGACGGACAGACAGAAAGAAAGAATGCGACAGAGGTGGCACTTTGAAAAAGTAGAGCAAAGCCAGAGTGGGAATTGAAATCCACACAAGTTGCCAAGGTTGAGAAACACGGGCTGAATATATCAACCCAGCCATTCTGGTTTAGAGTTTAGCATGCTGTTTGATTCCGGCTTAGTCAATGAATAAACCATGGCTAAGATCTTCCTGCTCCTTAATGCAGCTGCCCCTCTGCCCCTTCTCCAGCCCCCTGCAGCTGCCCCTCTGCCCCTTTTCCAGCTCCCTTTGGCATCCAATTTTGCAATGCCAGCCTCCCTGGGCCAGCAATGCAGCCAACCTCACGCTCAGAGACTCCCAACTTCAGTGAAGCATTCCGCCCATCTTTATGCTCCGCCCGGGAGGAGGAAGGCGTGCGGAAGCAGCCCAGACCAGCGGAGGCGGAGGGAACGATTGCTTGGAAACTAAGCAAGCAAGCAAGTGCAGGGCTCAGTTGGAAGAACCGGGCTGCAGAGGAAGGCTAGGTTTTAGGTCCGGGACGGCCACGTAGAGCCGAACCAAACCGAGCCACACACCTTGGAGAGCCGCAGCTGCACCCACCTGCATCCTGCGCGCAAGCCCAGCTGGCTGGAGAGGCGGAGGCCAGGCGGGTGCTGTGCACTCCCTTGTTCTCTGGGGAAGGGGGCCCTAACGCTGGACCACCCATCCCTTCCACTGTGCGCCTTGGGAGGGTTTTGCTTTTGGGCCTTTTGGCGTGCCTCCGCCACTTCCACTGAAGAGGGCATCCTGCAAGCTAAGGCGCCCTCTTTCCACCACCTCCCCCCTCCCCCCCCTCCAGGCTTGGCAAGGCTCATCGCGCGCGGGTTCCATATTCGAGGCGCTGGCTACGGAGCGATGAAACAGTCAATTGGCTGCGTGGCCGGCAGTCAGTGAGCCTGTGGGGCCGGCACCTCAAACACCCCCCTGCCATGTCTTAGCGCCCCACTTGCTTCTTACCGCCCCTAAGGCATCCCACTGCCCCCCAGGGAACCACAGGTCCCACCACCCACTTTGGGAACCACAGGTCTACATGATACATTTAAGCATTGCTTTGTGTATACAAATCCCATTGGTTTCAGTAGCATGTGCTTTTCTGTACAATGAGGCTGAAAGTTCAGCTGACTTAAATGAGGGATGGATAGGCTGTACATTAGGATCAGCCAAATGTATTTTTCCAATCTAGTACAGATAGTCCTTGACTTATGAATGAAATGGAGTCTTCTCATTCCGTTGGTAACCTGAGGATTCGTGGGAGTGAATCTCATACCTTGAACGGGATCACTCCTTCCTTTGCCCACACATTCGCTAATCAAATGCCTGGCTTGTTAAGTGCACATGGGATATTTCAGGGTGGGGAAGGCCATGGGGAGCCTAGTGATGGAACAGGCAGCTGCCTAAGACCACCAAAGGTCTTCCCGACCCACCGAAACACCTCATGTTCCCCACAATTGCTAGATCTAGCAAGCAGTCTCCTGCCTCTCTGCTGTGGGTGCCCCCCCCCCCATGCAGTTCCGTTTGGGCCTTCGCAGGCCTCGCCTGGCGTGTTGCCAGCTGAAATTGAGCTTCTGAGGGGTGGATCCACCCCACGGACATTCCCCAGCCCGTTGCAGGCTGAAATGGAGCTTTCAGAGGGCCAGAAGCTCCATTTCGGCCTGCAACATTCAGGATGAATGTTGCAGAATCTCTGCGATTATTCATAAGGGCATGGTGCTTCAAGCTTCGTAGTTTCGGGAGTTGTTCGCAAACGCTAGGGGATGCTTATTGCATAACTTCGAACGTTCGCTAAGAGAACACTTATAACCCAGGGATTATCTGTACCTGATGTGTTAAATGATTGAACATTTTTTAGTTGGCTTAGGTTTTGACTGAATGGTGGAATTTATAGTGTGATTGATCTGGAAACTGCTGAATTGGGGTATTCTGATTTAGATTAATAAAAATATATCATGAATTCCTCTGGACTATTGTTTCCCCTTGCCATTCCCAAATTTTGTTCTGTATCCATTTGAAAATCACATAGGGAAACAGCATTCCTTTTAGATATAATCTGAGAAATTATATGGGTATATTTTGATGTAGCTATTATAAAATCCAGTTCTCTCCAGATATTAACACATTTCAGGATTCTCGGACAATATACCAACACATCTGGGGGGAGTGCACTATAAAGGAAGATTGTCCTAAAAGAAGCACTATTATGATTGTCTTGCATATTTGGATATGCAGTCAGTTTCTTCTGCAGTCCTTTCAGTTGTGAAAGGGCAATTGCATTGCAGATTAATTTGGGTATTTTAAAAGGAGAGAAATCGAGTTTAAAGAACTAGTTTATAGAGAAACCAATTTCTGTTCACTTTTTAAACTGGCGGCTTAAGGTAATGTTCATCTTAACTTTCAAATCCAGTGGAGTTCAGGATTACCTCTGTACAATACTTTTTGCTTCCAGCCATAAACTTTACAAAGGCAGCAGGCATAACCTTTGGTTAGTTTATGAGAATTTTTAAAAAGTTGGGAAGTGGTGGTTTTTTATTTTGATACTTTTGAATTCCCTTGAATTGATAGAGATTGTCTCCCATCCTGTATCTTCCCTGGTACATTTAGGACACTTTGGGTTGCAATGTATATTCATGAAGGACATCCAATTTACAAATTTGAGGAATAAGTAAATTGAAATATACCTTTACCTATGTAAATATATTTTCTAAAAATAAATGTAACATTATGTATAAAGTACCTTAACATATATGTGTGTGTGTGTGTGTGTGTGTGTGTGTGTGTCAATTTTTTCAGATATTGGTTTAGGGAGTGATTCTGTGTGTGCAAGGCCATCATCTCACCGGATAAAGTCTTTTGATTCCTTGGGATCCCAGTCTTTACACAGTAGAACTTCAAAACTTTTTCAAGGCCAGTATAGAAGTCTGGTAAGCATTAACACATTTTAATAGCTTTTTATTTTCCTTAATCAGAGCTGCAAAGTGAAAAGCTTGTCTCAAATTCAGAGCTAATAGTTTGTTTAAGGTGTCCAAGATTTTTACATTGTTTTGCTTTTCTTGGGTTTTTTTGAGACACGACAAGAAGCAATAATTCTTTCAGATGCTACTGCATTGCGATAGATTACACTCAAGAGTCCAGTATATTAATTTATGCTGATGTATTTTGAAATAAATGAGCTTCAGTGTATGTAACTATTGGAATATAGCCAGGAAGTCCTAGAACGTCTTTACTATAGGCCATGACAATTTTAATTAAACATTGTTCATTATGAGCTACTGTTCACAAGCCTTAATCTGGATACGTAATGTGTTTAAAAAGTTTTAAATATACTAGTTTACCACTGGAATATGGGTTAGTTATGTTTCAATTTCAGCTACAAATGAAGTTACTACCGTACAGATCAACATCAGTTCTGTACCCAAATGTGTACACATAAACTGTTTGATATACACGAACCAACCAGAAACAGTTCTAATGCAGTTAATGTTATCAAAGCAGTAACTGATTAGGATTATATACAGTTGAAATATTGATTATATATTTTAAATTACAGAACTATGTATGCATGTATGTTGAAGAAGCAGATATGGTAGCTTTACGTTATAATTCATTGTTAAATTTTTATCTGAATATTTTGTTCTTTTGAAAAGTACCTAAAACATTATTATGGTCTCTTCATTTCTAGGATATGACAGATAACAGCAACCACCAACTAGTGGTAAGAGCTAAATTTAATTTTCAACAGACAAATGAAGATGAACTTTCTGTTACAAAAGGAGATATTATTCATGTTACAAGAGTAGAAGAAGGAGGCTGGTGGGAAGGAACTCACAATGGCAAAACAGGATGGTTTCCCAGCAATTATGTGCGAGAAGTAAAATCCAGTGGTAAGTTTCAAAAGTCTGCCTTTCTCAGTAATCTTAAATAAATTTGGTAGCTATCCAATAAATAAACTTTTATTACTTTATTTATTTGAATTATTAGCTGCCCGATTCCATTGGAGAAATGAGTTAATATAATAATGCCAATACATTACAATATTCAATGGGTATTGGGATATTGGGAAGAACCTGATACGAATGAAGGCCAACACCAGCTAAAGAATTGGCAGCTGTGATTTTACAAAGTTGTATAAATAATAATAATAATAATAACATCTGCCTATCCCAGGTCTTTGGGAAGAACTTTATAGGTGGATAAAAATGCCAGATCCATAGTATATAACTTTAAGTTATGTAATTTCAGTGAATAGAATAGAATAGAATAGAATAGAATAGAATAGAATAGAATAGAATAGAATAGAATAGAATAGAATAGAATTCTTTATTGGTCAAATGTGATTGGACACACAAGGAATTTGTCTTGGGTGCATATGCTCTCAGTGTATATAGAAGAAAAATAAAATACATTAATCAAGAATCATAAGATACAACATTTAGTGATAGTCATAGGTTACTAATAAGCAATCAAATACTCAGAAACA